GGGGCGCACGGGCGCTCCGGGCCCGCAGGGGAGGAGCCAGCCTTGACCCAACCCCTGGAGGGGGCGCCGGCCGTGCGCGCGCCGGGGCGGCCGGACCGGTTACGCGCAGGGAGGGTGTGCGCGCGCGCTTAGATGCGGGGCCAGAGCAGGCAGCCCCGGGGGAAATCGAGGCAGAGTGCGTCCCCGGGAGGCCGCTGTGACGCTCCAAGCAAGTGGGCTAACCCCCCGCGTAATCTGGGCTGGTCACTCTCTCCCTCTTCTCTGTCCCCTGTGGCCGGACGGTCGCCCGCCGGCCAACCCCTCTCCGCCCCGTTGTACCCCCTTAACCCGGTCCACTTGGTTGCTTGGCGGAGGCGCATCGGAAGCGATTGCGGGTTTGAGAATGGGAGACGTAAGAACGAGTAGGATCTACTTTTGCTGGCAGATGCACAGAGAAAGGCTGAACCTTCTCCCCGCAACCCATTCGGTGGACACTTCTGCTCTGCGCCCCGGTCTGGCCTGCTTCCTGCAGCCTGAGGCCAAGCCCCCACAGGGGTCCTCAAACTACAGCCCGCGGGCCACATGCAAATACAAATATTGTATTTGTTCCCGTTTTGTTTTTTTACTTCAAAATAAGATATGTGCAGTGTGCATAGGAATTTGTTCATAGTTTTTTTTAAAACTATAGTCCGGCCCTCCAACGGTCTGAGGGACAGTGAGCTGGCCCCCTGTTTAAAAAGTTTGAGGACCCCTGCCCCCAGGACGTGCCTGCTGGGACTGGCTCTCCAAGCCCCCTCGGTTCTCATGTGGTTTCTTGCCAAATGTTAAACTGTAGCTCAGGACTCTGCAGATGCAGCCAACCGCAAAGAATCACATGGCATTGGACCCAGGTGTATGCAAGCCATGGCTACCTTCCCTCTCAGCGGCGGAGGAGTTTAGGAGTGAATCCCGTTTCTTTTACTTGCTGCGGGTAAATAAAGCCACCTTGCGCCCTGGCCGGTTTGGCTCAGTGGATAGAGTGTCGGCCTGCGGACTGAAGGGTGCCGGGTTCGATTCCAGTCAAGGGCACATGCTGGGGTTGAAGAGGCAGCCGATCAATGATTCTCATCATTGATGTTTCTCTCTCTCTCTTTATCTCTCTCTCCCCCCCCTTCCTCTCTGAAATCAATAAAAATATATAAAAAAATTTTTTAAAAATTGAGGAAGAGTGTCTGATGGCAAGGAGGCTGGGAGAATCCCATCAGGTTACAGGAGAAAACAGCTGGAGGTGGGAGGGGAAAAGGGGGGGGTCCTGGAACCCACGGACACTGGGCACCCGCTGTGGACAGGCGCTGAGGCCAGACCGATGAGGGACATTTTGCGGAGTGAAGAGAGTGGTGGGGAGGGTGACAGAGAACATGGCGAAGCTCAGTGCAGACTCAGAAGCAGGGGGCAAAGTGTAGGGAGAGGGCTGGGAAGATAAACAAGACCAGATGGGAGACAGAATTACACTGTGTAGAAAGGAATGTGGACTTCATCCAGAGGGTAAAAAATAAATTAAAAAAAGAGTAACATCATTTACTGATAAGAAGAGAAACTGGGTGGCTGGAAATATGGGAGAGACAGAAACTTTTCAGTCCTACACAGATTTATACTTTTTTTTAAATTCTGAATCGTGAAAATTATTACTTATTCCCAAAAAAATCAACATTATTTTAAAATATATTTTAAAATTATCCTACTTATAATCAGTCTGGAGGTGTACTAGGCTCTAGGTGAGCAAAACAGCAAACCTACCCTACCAGTTTCTAATCTATGAAGTATTTTCATAGTTTTATATATCTTTGGGTAGATTTCAAAGATGTATGAAGAGATAACTATAACCTATGCAAAATGGTTGTTATACTAGAGAGATGGGCGTAGAACTTTGAAAGCACAGGTTGGGGGTGGGGAGCTTACTATGCCTGAAGACTTGGGGAGGTATTGTGTCAACCATGTTTTGGTAGGAGGTAACATGTGAACTGGGTTTTGAAGCATGAATAGGAGTTTTTAAAAATGGAAAAGAGTCCTAGCCAGTCTGGCTCAGTAGATAGAGCATTAGCCTGTGGACTAAAGGGTCCCAGGTTCAATTCCGGCCAAGGGCACATGCCCGGGTTGTGGGCTCGATCGCCCCCCATCCCCCAGTAGGGGATGTGCAGGAGGCAGCCAATCAATGATTCTCTCTCATCACTAATGTTTCTCTCTCTCCTTCTCCCTTCCTGTCTGAAATAAATAAAAATATATTTTTAAAAAAGAATTTGTCTATTTTGAGTTTTTCCTCCCATAATTTTTATTGAAACTCCTCCTACTTTCTGCTGGTTCATATAAGAAGTAAAAAAGAAAAGTATAACAAGCAAATATAAGTGAGAAAACTTTTTCTCCTTGTCGAATAGGTTCCTTGTTGTGACTTTTATATTTTCTATAACACGTTTCTGTTACCAAGACGGCGCCTTGTCTATGGGTTGGGATGAGCCACTCTTAATGTTTCATCTTCTCCGCAGCAATCCCGGCTTGCAGCTCTACGCTCTGGCTCACCTCCTGTTTTCTTTGGCTTATCCCGTTGGGTTTGTTTTGCTTCTTCCTCGCTTGTCCTGAAAAACCAAACTGTCTGGTCCCGCGAGATCTGTATTCTTCATGACAACAGTCAGCGGGATCTGACGGCGTCACCCCCACCAGGGGACACCCCAGTTCCCGCCCTCCCTGAGTCCAACCCCAGCCCCTTCTCCTTTGGGTCCAGGTCGGGGGCTGTCTCCAGCAGTGGCTGCAGATTTCCACCAGGGGGCGCCGCCACCAGCGTTTAGGCGAGGAGGGCGGGGTGGGGAGGGGAGGGCGTGCCCGCAGCTGGTTCTTTGGGGCCCAGAAAGGAAGTGCTCCTTTCCTTCCTGGGGAGTAAATCCTGAGGCGCAGCTTCCCTTGACCCAGCTCAGTGAAGAGTCGGTTCTGCTTCTGCGAGTCGCCCGGAGGCCCAGAGCTTGGAAATACACTGGGAGAAGCAAAGCCACGCTGCCCGCAGCCCCTGGCATTTCAACAACCACACTGTGGTCCCTGCAGGCCTAGGGGGCAGAATGCTGTTAGGCCCTCAGGCCATCCTGAGTGTGAAATAGGATGAGGCGTCTATTCCTGTTCCAGCGGAGACATCGAGTCCCCTATCGGCTGAGACTTTGAGTCCCTTGTCTCCCCGGAGGGCCCCACCCCGAGAGAACGAGGCAGGTGCCCACCATGGCGGCCTCCCACACTTGACGGAGAGAGATGCCGGGAACATGTGGCTTCAGGCAGGAAGCAAGGCACGGACCGGCCAGAAGAAAGAGGTGGAGATGTGTCTGTCACAGCACGCGTCCCCCCTGTAAGGCGGCCTTCCTTCCACCAGCTGGGACATGGGCGTCTACCTGTGTATGTCGGGCACAGTGACATCTCAGCTGATACTTGATCAATACATAGATGCTCCAAGGAATCCGTCAGGGGGGTGGGAAGGCCACCCATATACCTTGGACATCAAGGGCAATGTCGTGGGGGCTGAAGCAGGTGACCCCGAGGGCCAGGGACCTTCTGGCTTCTGGCCAACGGGCCCCCCAAGCTCCTTCGATGACCGCCTCTGTCCGCCTGTCTTTGCAGCGTTGACTCTGAGGAGGTTATCAGCCAGGATGCAGAATCCCGCTTCCCCTCTCCCTGCTCAGCGGCTGTTTCTCTGCCTTGTTTTCCTTGGCCTTTCATCTCAGCGCCGCCTGCGTGAGCTCAGAGAGGAGGAGGAAGGACTGGACCCGGATAGGTGTCAGGGGAGGGAGAGAATGTCCTTCCCTGCTGGGAGGGCCTCCAACCCCATGAAAATAGTATTAAACAGAGTGTCTCCTCGCCCATGTTCCTCGCAAAATAACCTCCATTTCCCCGGCCCTTTCATCCTGTTTATTTACTAACCGGCCCAAGCCTTGACCATCTTGAATGTGGGCAGAAAGCTGCCCGCGTTGCCCAGCGAGAGGGAATTCCAGGGAGTCCTCCTAATAGTTTGGGCCAATTGTGGTTGCAGAAGCCGCACAAAGTCTAGTGTAAAGATCACCTGAACAGCCCTGGCCGGTGTGGCTCAGTGGATAGAGCGCCAGCCTCCGGACCAAAGGGTCCCGGGTTCCATTCCGGTCAAGGGCACGTACCTCGGGGTTGCAGGCTCCTCCCCGGCCCCGGGTCCTGGTCAGGGCTCCTACGGGAGGCATCCAGTCCATGTGTTTCTCTCACATCGATGTTTCTCTGTCTTCCCCTCTCTCTCCCACTCCCCCTAAAAACCAATGGGAAAATATCCTCGGGTGAGGATTAACAAAAATAAATAAAATATCTTTAAAAAAAACCAAAAAACAACCACAGACAACCTGGTTAGATAGCGGGGAGGAGGGAAGGGTGGAAGAGAAGAAAAGCGAGACCGAGGGTGGGGTTGGAATCTGAGCTGGGCCCTGCAAGGCTCGGTGCACGAGAGAGACCTCCCCGCACGTTTCAACAGTGGGGACCATGACAGTCAATGGGTTGTGCTGAGGATCAAGGCACGCGTAGAAAGTGTTAACGTAAAAAACCATTGAAACCTGTAAAGAATTTTTGTGAGTTTATTTGAGCCAAACTGTCGACATATGCCTGGAAGCAGAACCTCAACGAATTGAGAAAGTGCTCCGGAGAATGGCAGGGTTACATCTGTATTTATACATTTGCAATCAAAGGAGGGACATAGGTGGGTTCCATGAAATTCATTGGTGATAGATGAAGGAGGAGGGATAAAGCAAAGCAGGGGAAACCCCTGGGATTGGATAAAAAGTAAAATGATGGACACTTACTTAGGTGGGTGCAGGATCAATTAACATGATGATGAAGGAATTTGTGGTATCTGTCCTGGCGCCCAGCACATTAGGTTGTGCCCCAGGGGCTCCAGAAAAAGGGAAGTTACAAGTTACCCAGGCATTTCAAGGGTGTGTTATCATAGATGCAGAAAGACAGGTAGGTTCAGTTAAGGTAAAGGTTGACCTTGTCAGTGAAGATACTGGCCTAGGACGTAACTGCCCACCATCACTGCTTTTAGTCAAAGTTTAATTTCAGACCATCCTTTGTGGTTACTTTAAGTCTCTGAGTTTGCAAGACGGCCATGCAGGCCTCCCCTGAGCTTGTCAGGTCAGCATGTGGCCCCTTTCGTCCACAGAAGAAACACCTAAAGGCCTGGATTTCCCTGCCCACAGGGTGAGCGCCCCCCTACCC